CTTTACACAATCCTACACTCGCTTTATGGGAGGCAGTGGCTGCCAGGAACTCGGTGCCTCCTTTCAAGTACAGATTAAGACTTTTTCCAGAAGTTCTTCCGACGTCATTGTGTGCTCGCGAAATACATGGAAGAAACTGGGTATATCGACTATGTGCTTTTCATCGATTCCGACATAGGAGTTGTAAATCCAAAGAGGTAAATCAATTGTTTCTGCACGTTTGCTGTTTTCAAGATGTGGGAACACAGCTAACAGCTTAGCTCCCTTCTGGCATCCAGGCGTTGACCTCTCAGCTAACCAATATTTTCATTTTTACATCCTTTGCTCAACAGCAAAACATGCCTATTTCACTGATTCTTCGAATATCCACCCACACTAGTGAAAAGCATTACTTTTTTCAAGTTAATGAATTTTTCACGAACAGTTTAGAGCTTTTGCTTTCTGATGCTTGAACATATCGTAACATGTTGTACTTATAGAACATTCTTGCAGCCTTCTCGCAAGAGCTACACTAAATCGCTTGCTCTTCTCTGTTTCCAACCACGATACCACCGTCCACCGCTGCATTGCACAAAAGGAAGACGTTGGAAATCAGTCTTCGAAGACGAACCTCGGTCGGGACGCCTCTATGGAGAACTTTTGACGCTATCATAGCAAATCTGCCTCCTACCAACTACACTCTTGATACAAGACTCGACTGTACCTAAAGGACAGCCTTCAACCGTCTATCAGCCCTCGATTATCAGATAATACTGGCTCGATGGACCCTCATACCTACGAATGGCACGCAGTGTACGCAGATACACCTTCAATCATTCAATGATAGTCAATCACTTGTCAGTCTGCTCTTCTCTGCTATCGTCAGAGAGGAGATTCTTGATGATTGGTTATTAGAGATGAGAGAGATTATCTATCATTATAATTCACATAGTACCGGGTGATTGTCCCAAGGAGAAGACCCATTTAGGCAATCTAAACCGGCCATCCCAGAAGCATTTAATTGTCTTCAATCGGTCAGCGAGAAAAAGTGCAGTGCATGTAGATTCACAAGAATTTTGAATAGGCAGACAACCGTAGCTGTTTGCATGGTCTAAAAAAAAGAATTAAGGCTGATCGAGGACTTCATTGATCCGCAAGCGGATATAATATTCTACTACCGTTTCTTCAACTGGGAAGTCATGGCTGGCTCCTATCTAGTAAGAAACATAGACTGGACAAGGAAATTCCTCACAGGTGAGATTTGGGAGACTTTGGGAATTTTCGTGTTTTCATTCGCTTCGCTATTCCATTCATTCAGTGTCCACTAGGACTTGTACAGGATTGTTCGCTGCAGTACATGCCACATCTGTATATAATGAACTTAGATGGTCACACTTGACCGTGGGCTCCTTCCTTAGCGCTGGCTGGTTTCTACAAAAACAAGGAATATTTTCCAGTTGATGTGACTCTACACCGAACTACCGAGGAATGAAAAGGGTGTGATAGTTCCTGAACTCTGTAGTTTGTATGGTCAGGTGTTTTTCCAGTGAACCCCTTATTTTGAGAGCTGACAACTACGTTCAAAGCAGAAATCTTTAGGGAAATAAGGACGTCCCTAGAGCATGCTGAAATCTGAGTGTGGGTCACGTTTTCAAATGCTGTGTTGGGGACAAAGGCGATACCATTAAGGAAGTTCTCACGTTTTAGGAATTTATACTTATACGACTACCATTTTCATAAAAAACTGTTTTCTTTGCGCGATCTCGAAGTTTCGATCAATATGTCGGGCGCACTGGTGACTTTGCCATACCCAACACACTTTATCTTCCCGTTTATATGATAAGGCATCTTAAGGACGAGCTGGAAAGGACACGTGCGACAAACCAAATCATTGACTTCTGACAAAAAATAGAGTGACGACTCCACATACATTTCCAGACTTCGCGGACTACGAAAGCCACATACCGAAGAGCTATCATGGGAGCGACAATGGAGCGATCCACGTTTGTAATTCGATTACATAAACGTAACCCTACCTACTTCTTCTGATTTTAAGTTGCTCACTGCAATTAATGGCATTTGCTTGGGGAACTCTCCTACTCACTGTGACAAATATAGCCACCACTAGTGTTGTGGTGCTAGCTAGAACATTCCGTAATTATACTTGAAATCCCTGAGATCGGGTAGGCGTGGCCGCATGTTTCAACTTAACCTGAAGGTGTCTATGCTTCTGGTGAGATATTTTCATCTTGACACAATTGTTGTCCTGCCTCTGTCCAACCCAGAACAAGATGACAGTTGTCCCAGACTGGAATATTCCATGAGTAACCAGTTTCGTATCATATTCAATGCCGCGCCTACTCTGGCTCAGGGATAAACAGTGCACCTGAGAACTGGAAACAATTCCACCTGTAATGAGCTCCGCAACACAATCGCATACGTTGGGCCATTTCACGCTATACTCGAGAATGTTTCGCACATTCATCTGCAATTAGGTGTTTTGGACCCAATTCTACTTGCACTCCTACGATGTGTTTTCACGACGGCTAGGCAGACCATACAACAAGGGATAGCCGATGTACAAAGCAATTGTTTTTTATCCATACTTCTGATGCTATTTTATCGTCGGGAGTGTACATGCTTTGATTAGCTTGTACGCTAACCACTTCGGGAATGGAACTGCGCACAGCCGCCTGATAATCGTGTCATACGCCACTTCACCACCCCCTCCTGGTAAGAAACATGATGGATGGTGGAAGAAAAGTTTCAAAAAACCGTCAAGGTATAGAGATGAGTCTGAACTACCACTCACATCACCGTCAGAATTAGGTAGCCTGTGTTTGGCGGGCGAGCATGGCATGGGTCGAATTCCTTCTCTTGTTGCGTTGGAATAAGCAGTAATGCCTGGCATATCTCTCATCAGTGAACCTGATCAACGATTTTCAACCATTACCATCATGCCTACTGTTTCAACACTTAAACGATTCAGGTGGTCGTAGTAAAGAACATTGATTATGTTTACACATGAAAGATATGTCAGGCATTAATGATTCATGCACTTCAATACAACAGGAGAAAAAACAAAAGAAAACAAGCCATGATGAGGGTCAGTAAGGTAAACAATTCTGATCATTTCTCTCTGGTGTGCTCTGGAGAAGGAGTTATGCTTTTTAAATCTTCCCCGCCGAAATCGAGGGACTGCTCACGGTATTTATGCTCTGTACTGTGGCCCAATGCTATGCTCTTTCGGGGTAGATCGAACTCTCGGACAGACCAACAAACAACTAAATCAGACAAAAGCAAAAAAAGGCGTAGGAATTGTATCTACACGGGGGAGTGGGCAAAAAAAGTCACTTCGACCGAGTCACATATCAGCAAAGTTTTTGCAGCCCAGAGAGAAGATGTTGATACGAGTACTAGGGCGGAAGATATCCAAGGTGTTCCTCGATAAGCAGGAGCTGGCCCTCGCCCATCACCTTCATGTACAACAAAATGAGGTCATCTCCAGTCGTAGCCTGACTGGAGAAGCATTCATGTCACCTCCAAACAGCTGCGAAACTT